CAACAACTTTAGATAACGTTTCAGTTGTTTAAAAGCCATTACAAAATCAAATAAGATTTTATCTTTATACGTCCCCTGATGGTTTGGTTCCGTGTTTAGCGATTCTTTGCGGTAATTAGTGGTGGGTGTTCTTATATTCAATCATTTCTGACAATACGTTTTACAATTTTAATGTTGCTTCAAGCTGCGACGTTAATAAACTTCTTCAAGGTTCAATGAGCGTTAAATCATGCTCAAGAAATGAGCGGCAAACGTGCTAATAATCACGAAAAATTAATTAAAACTATCATACCCTTTTACCACACGGATCGTCTGTGATTTGCCGGTATCTTTTTAATCAATCCTTTCTAGAATTTTTTCATTTTACAACAAATCAATTTTTTAATATGCTGGCAAAATAAACTGACCATGGAGTAATCATTTGAACCCTGATGACATAGCCTGAKTTCATCCAGCGTTTACCCGTAAACACGGTGACGGTTAATATTGAAAATAAACCGGATGTACGCAGGCTATGATGACACGGCAATTTCGTTTTAGTTTTTATCCAGTAGTCCAGTCCAATGTTACACCAGCTTCCCAAACTTACAAGTATTTTCGTTTCGTGCACGTGGAACCACAATCCTTTGCGACTTGGGGCGGCAAATMCAAAATGGCGGAGAGATGGCACTGTACATGCATGAGGCGAGAAATGAAAATTCCAGTTTTTTTGCAGGGTAAGCATAATAAAATGTATTAAACTGTTAAATAAAGTTTTCTATAGAAATATTAGAATCTTTTGGGAAACATTTTTGTCAAATTATAAGTGAAACCTTTGAGTTTTTGGAGTTTAAAAGKTTTCACGTGGGCTGGGGTCGACATTTTCTTTTTCTTTTTAAGATATCTTTTACGATAAATYCACATTAAAGTTTTGATGAATTTGAATTTGTAGCAATTCCAACGCTTTTTAATTTTTTTTCACTTTTTCCCCATAGTTCCTGAGTGATATCAAGGAGACATCTTCCACTGAAAGTGAGACAAAATCCAAAGTGAAGAAACTTCAAATTTTGAGAGGAATACAAGCTGAACATCATGTTAGACAACTAAGAAAGAGGTTAAGCAAAGACGCTAGCCCTGCAGTCGGACTGTATGTGTGTTAAGTTGGTTAGTTTATGGAATAGTTTTGTTTCTGTTTGTTGTTTGTTGATGCTCTGCTGTTTAACTGTTGGGTTATGGGAAATGGYCATCCTTTAAGCAATTTGAACTCTTTACCCTAACTAGGATTGGTTTAACTGTATTTACAACAATTTCTAAAGTGATTTCAATCATTTGTAATACAGCTGAGTTTTACATTCATATTAACATAATTTGATCGTAATCATTATACGTCCATCTCATTATCATAACTCCCCGAACACCATCAACACATYTRTCTATTCACAATTTGAAAGTATAGCTCAAAATGGATTAKMTCTAATTATCAGGCCAAAAAMWWTCAATAAAAAACAAGAACAATGAATTGCAAAACTATTATATTGAATATCATGAATATCTATAATTATATTATCACACATTGAGCTTTGTTGCTTACAAAAATGAGACTTATTTGTCATCAACACTACAATGTACCATCATCAGGACTTTTGTTCTGTCATTCACTTATAATATGTGAAATATTGTATGGATAAAATATTGAAATTGATTGAATAATTGCTATGTGAAAATTGTACAGTCATGTATTGAAAAGTTGTTATAAAATGTATTGTTTSTTATATGTTAAAATGTTGAGATAAAAATTTAAATACTAAAAGCTAAATGTTCAAATTTTAACCCTGTATGACAGATGTCAACAAGGGAAACCTTATTTCTACGAGGCACTAGCCCAGTATATGACAACCTCCAATGAAATGTTTGCAGATATTTTTCATCAAAAATCTTACTTTCAAATTTTCTAATTTTTTGAAACATCCTATTTTCTTATACACTTGATTGAATTTTCAACAAGTGTCTGTTTGTCTTTACTTGTTTAGCAACAAGACTGATCTTTTTATGAACTCTACCTTGAACTCATTTCTTATCTTTCAAGAATAGATTGAAATAAAGCTGAAAAACGCAAGAAGCTCTCATTTTTAATTGGGCTATAATTAGCCTTCAACTATCTTATGGGTCATTAAAATATCTTCTTGGAAATGGAAATATTTTGAGAAAGACAAGAACAAAAGTCTTGAAAAGAGCAAGACTATTATGCTGGGGTGTTCATCTTAACATCCTCTTTTTACAACTCATGTCAAAMTTTGAACAAATAATAGAAGAAAAGTTAAGTGTCATATTGAATATGATATATTTATATTTCAAACATCTTTGAGAAAGACAATATCTTGAAGAACTCACAAAGTATTCTCTTTTTAAATAACAGCAGACATTTTTATGCTTTAACTGAGCAATTACTTTTGGAAAACCATTTATTATTGCAAGCATTCTTTTAGACATGGGCTACTAGGCAATGACAAAGTCATTGAAAAAGACATTATCATGCAAAGAAGGGAAAAATCATTCTCTCTAAATGGGCAATTCATTCTTTTTCTAATGCTCCTCTAAAATTTGAGATGAAGGATAAATCAGATTTTGAATAAATTGGAAATATTTGAAACACTTTGAAGCTGATCTCTACAAAAGTAGCATCCATCATCATATCTTATCTGAACCACTTATTCTCTTATGATTTATTTCAAGCATCTTTGATAAATGAAAAAATCTTGCATAAGGCAAGAAGCATCATCTTAAACCTTTCATATTCTGAGAATGATAATAAGCATTATTTTTAAAATGGGCAACAAACCTTTTCAATGAATGGTTAACTTATTTAACATCTCTTAAGTGAAAATATCTTTAAAATGTTAACAGAAATTTCTTTTGAATGCACAATTCATTTACAAATGTCCTCTTTGAGAACATTGAGAAATGTACCTCTGTTGAACAGGGAAGTCAAGTAGAAATTTGAGCAAGCTGAATTTTACCTCCATAAAATTGCTTCTACCTGAGACTGATCTTGCAAAAGGCAAAGCATCCTGTTTGGWTTGGGCAATAAAGAAATCAGCAATTCATGCAAACATCTTTTTGAGGAAAGGAAATGTTTTAGAAAGACAAATAAGAAGTCTCTGTTTAGATGGACTATTCATATAGCATCTTGTTTTGAGAACGACAAAAAGATAAATAAGCATGATGACGAAAATCCTTATAATAATTTCATGTTATTCATGTGTTGAGAGATGATACTTTTCTATCAAATTGGGCATTCATGTAGAGACAAGATCCTACAAAAGACAAGAATAATTGAATACTTGACATTTTAAAAGATCTTTTTTTGAAAAAGGTTTTTTCTTACAAAAGAAACCAGGTGCATCCTCTTTAAGTCTGCAATAAGCTCAAAGTACTCTTTTGCCCATGAGTATATCATATGATACCACTTGTTCACCCAGTCTTACCAGAAGATAATTGAATGTCATCCTTCTTTTGAACTCCCCAAAAGAGCTTATAAAGCCAATARAATAAAAATGAAAGTAAAATGTATCATTATTTTCTCATGCAAAATGTTGGTACCCACAGCTCCAACAGCTGCTTGAACACATTTTGAATAATGTTATCCGTTTGTGATCATCTCAATTGAMGTTTTGACAAACCCTTGTGAGGAAAAGGAAACTTTTCCTCGAATTTAGGATATTTAAGYTCTTGAACACCATTCCTGTTCTCATCCCAAAGATACTTTTTTCAACCTCTAAGAAACCAGTGATCTTCAAGCAATCTAATTTTGAGTTGAGCATGCCATTTACTGCATGACAGCTGTAAAATCAGCAGTAATCATTGAGAAAGGCAATAACTTGCAAAAGGAAAGATGCATTAAACGTTTTAAAAGGGCAATAAATGTTTAAATTTTCTATTAAATTCATAACATAAACATCATCTTTGAAAGGCATGAAGCACCCTCTTTGAAATGACAATGGGTTGAAAGTAGTTTCCATTGAGAAACATCT